TAAATTCCCAGGGGCCAGGGCCACAATCTGAACACTAGACATGGGGCCCAGAGCTTATGCCCATGCATTCCACCACACCATGCACCATATTCAAGTGGGAAAGAACAAACATCCGGCAGGTAATGGAGCCCAGGCTAGGAACATCCTTATCTATGCAACAGAACCAGGAGGCTAAATGAAGGCAAACATCACAATCATTTAGACAACAAACCACCCACTGTTCTCCCAAAAGGGCATCATAGGCCAAATGTATTCTTAGCCAAGGAATGCTATTTTTTGAGACACCCTTAATAACTGATTTTGGCACCATTCATTCCAGTCAGTTTTTCACCCATAAAATAGAAATGAAAGTAAGAGCCTCAAAAGGTTAGTGTGAGGATTCGTGGAGATACGGTGTTTAAGTGCTTGCCTAGAATGTGGTTGCTAAATAAGAGGGAGTTGAGTTGTTTTGCCTTTAAGAACTGTATTAGCTGTGTTTTTGTTGCTATGACCAAAATACCCAAAATAAGAATAACTTACAGGAGGAAAAGCTTATTTTGGCTCATGGTTCCAGAGATTTAGTCCATTGTCCACTGAGTCCATTGCTCTGGGCCCAAGGCAACAGGCAGAACCTCATGGCAGAAGGGCATGGTAGAAGAGCTCTGTTCTGCTCATGGCAGCTGGGAAGCAGAAAGAACAAGGGGGAATCCTTCCAGGGCATACCCCCTGGGACCTGCCTTTTCCAGCCACGCCCCACCTGCCTACAGTTACCACCCAGTCCATTCAACCTGCGATTGATTGATGGGTTACAGCTCTCACGATGCAATCATTTCACCTGCAAACATCCCTGCACTAACACAGGGGCTTTGGGGAAGACACCTCCTATCTAATCCACAATAAGGACATAGTCCTGGTCTTAGACAATCTAGTCACAGGTCGAGGAACAATGGGAAAAGACATATCTGGGAGATGTCTATTCAAAAAAACCAACCACACAAAACAAACTGACCTGTGCAATATCGAGTCTACCTGTCGTTATATCCAAACAGGCAGGCATGCAGGAGAAGCAGAAATTCAGCTTGGAGTCAATGAATCCAACTTGATTTCAGGTCAAAACACTTGTGTGTAAGGCCAAGTGATGTATTAGGCTGTACAGTCACTACTGCCATCAGAGTTGGTAGTTGTGTATGTGATACAATCTGAAAGTCCCTGAAGGGCCTCTGTCCTCAATCTTTCTTCTTCCAAACAGGCAGGGGATCTGAAATTCCATCCGGGGAAATCTATCCTTGTGTTATAGCCAAGAGTCTCAGACTTTGCTGTGTATCAGAATCACCTGAAGAACTTATTTTAAATATTGACCCTCGAAGTACGGTGTCAGACTCTCTGGGCATGGGGTCTCCAGACTGCATTCTTGACTGGTTGAGTTGAATGTACAACAAAGTTTGAGAAATATCAGATTAAGGTATTATTATCTTCAGAGTTCTCTGTTAAATTCCAAATTGTCTCTCAGGGAGCTTGCTGTGTTTCTCTAATTGCAGTTTCTACCTCATTCTTCTAAAACTGCTTCCATCAATATCATTGAGCTCTTGTGGCCACCTAATGGCTTTTTTGGGGGGAGGGGGGTATTGGGGATTGAACTAGGGGCAGTCAACCACTGAGCCACATCCTTAGCCCTATTTTGTATTTTATTAGAGACAGGATCTCACTGAGTTTCTTAGAGCCTCATATTTGCTGAGGCTGGCTTTGAACCACAATCCTCCTGTCTCAGCCTCCTGACCCACTGGGACTACAGGCTTGTGCCACTGTGCCTGGCCACCTAATGGCTCCTTTCTAGTACTCACGCTTTGGGTCCTCTGTGCAGCATCTGACAGTCTACCATCCCTCCCCTCAATCTCTTACTTGTTCTCTTTCCCTTCTCTTCTCCATGTATGGAAACTCCTCAAGTCTTTTTGCCAGAACCTGGCCAGTAATTTCCAAATTTTCCAAATTTTTATCTCCTATCTAATCTTCTCCTAGTACCAGTTTTGCAAGACAACCACCTGCTCAACAGACTGACATGTATATCTCATGAGGATCTAAAGCCCAATATCTCTGCATCCTTCTTCAAACTACACTTAATCAGGAAATGGTCCACCTCAATGTGCTCAATTTCTGCTTCTCCCACATCCACGCCATCAGCAGGTCATGTCAATCTCCACCACCACTGTCCAGCAAGCCACCATCTTCTTTCCTAGAGTCCTTCCTGACACTGTTTTGTCTCTTGCCCCATTTACATCATTCTCAGAGAAGCCAGAGAATTCTTTTGAATATAGTCTCCAACTTACAATGGTTTGACTTTCATCTTTCTGATTTTATGATGCTGTGAAAGTGATACACATTGAATAGAAAACATATTTTAAAGTTTGAATTTTGATCCTTTCCTAGGCTCATGATCTGTGTGGTACCACACTTTCTTTTGATGCTGGACAGTGGTAGTGAGCCTCAGCAGCTCCCAGGTGAACAGCCACCCCATCGTGAGGGGAAAGGACCAAAGCTCTGCAGCTCAGGTGTTCATTCTGTTAGGTATGTTAAATGCATTTTTGATTTATGGTAATTTCAACTTAAGATGGGTTTATTGAGATGTAACCCTACAGTGAGTTAAGAAGAATCTGTACAACATAAAAACAGGGGTTGGTACTGTAGCTTGGTGCTACAGTAGGTGCTTCACATGAGCAAGGTCCTGGGTTCAAGCAACCTTACCCCCCATCCCACGCCTATTCAATAGCTTCTAATAGCTTCTTGCTGCATTTTGACACAATTGATTCATTCCTGGGTCTGTACAACACCTACTAACTTCTTTGTTTGGTCTTCAAGACTCTTTATCTTCTGACTCACTCCACTGATCACCATGTTCCACTCACACTGGCCTTCTTTAGGTTTCTCCAATACTTCAAATTATTTTCAGGGCCTTTGCCTATGCTGTTCCTTCTGTTTGGAATGATCTTCACCTCTATGACTGGCTACTTCTCATCCTTCAGGGCTGAGAAGTGTGAACACTTTCCCTGAGCAGGGATTCCCTGATATATTTCATTCGTTCTACACAGTGCTTTGGATTTTATTTATTCATTCATTTAATGTCTGTCTCGTACCCTAGAACATAAGCTCCATGAATTACAGAAACTATGTGAATTTCTAAATTTTATATATATATATATATATATATATATATTAGATATTTTAAAACTCTAAAAACTTCTTACATTTGACCTACGTTACTTGCTTAATAAAAATCTGCAAAATAAAATGGAAAAAAGTTATGACAATATCAAAATAAAATATAGCAGACTATTTTAATTTTCAGGAAGTTTGAGAAATTCTTTTTAAGCATGATGTCAAACTTAAGAACTGTAAAGATTGACAAATTTGATGATATTTTAAGCATTTAACATTTCTGTATTTCAGAATTAAAAGAAGATGAACTGGGGAAAAACTTTGGAAAGTGTTCAAATGAAAACTTTTTCAAATAAATAAGAAAAGTTGAGAAAAGCTATAGAAATCAGGCGAAAGACACACTAATTTACAGAAAATAAATGACAATCATTAAAAATATTATAAGGAATATTTAACTTCACTCTTGAAAGCACCAGATTTTATTCTGGTGAATCAGCAAATACCTGGGTCATGTGTGTGGAGACTGGTAACTTTCATATACTGTTGGACACTAGCCATTGACTTTCTTATATCCATTGTATTTTAGTGCCAATGCTTTTTTGTTCAACAATTTGGTCATGTCTATTGAAGTTTAAAATATGCTTTTCCTTGGGACCAACACCTTTCAGATTAGCAATTTTAGGAATTTATCCTAAAATAATACTTTCACAATGTGCAATAATATATTCAAATCTGTTCATTGTTTTAATAAACAAAAACTGGAAGCCATCTGCTTATTTAATAACAACAATAACATCCATTCAAAGAAATACAATATAGCTGTTAAAAAGAACAAGGGTGTAGATTTATACAGTATGTTTTGGAAAAACATTTTTGATGTATGGCCAAAGGGAATGGTATGTGTAGCAAAAATCACATTAAAAAACAAAGATGCATGTATTGAAAAGTTGTATAAAAATATTTAGGCATGCATGGAAAAAATAAGGACATCACTGAAAGTCTGAACCATGTGGCTATGTTTGGGGAATTGGAGTTTGGAAAAAAAATTCTTTTTTACATCATGATTTATGTATCATTTATTTTTGTGTTGTTTAGATTTTTTCTTTCTTTTTTTGAGAGATAGAGGAATGTGTGGAAGACAAATGATTACTATTTCATGCATTTTGGCATTAGTGCAGTTGGAGCTGCCCGCTGGGCCTCCTGGAGGGTCAGACTACACAGTCAAGGGTTCAGGGGCTTCAGCCCTTTCCCTCTCTGACTTCACCCCAAGAAGGGAGAGGCACTTTGGCTTCGTATGTTTTTGCAAGAATCAAATGGGACGGAGGTTGTGAGAAGCCTTTATCAACTATAAAGCTCTTTCAAACACAAGAGATGATTATCATCATCAAAGTCCACTTCCCATCCCAGGCAGGACTGCTGGTTACCGCAGAGAACCCCCGCAGTGTGCACAGGGTGCCAGAAACCTGCAGTCTCCTGTATCCAAAACAGCGTTTGCCCCAGGGTTCCCCAGCCCCTGTCTCCCAGGGAGGGAGTCCGGAGGCCTCCCGCTTCATCACTTCATCCCGGCCCGGGCCCCGCCGCTTCCCAGCAGAGCTTGGCTGTTCCTTGAACTTTCAGTGTTGGTTCGATTTCCTCCAGTGGTACCACATGCTGCTGTGCAAACAGAGCACGTGGTCCGGCCAAACAAAGGAACATGTGTGCTGCGAGCCCTCCCCCTCTCACCGGAGCGCCCAGCTCCGCCAGGAGAGGGCCCGGCCGGCGCGCTCCAATTTTTCACTGCAGTTTAAACACCCAGCAAGGCTCTCAGGAAGCGGCGGGGGTGGGGGACGGCCGGGGAGAAGGGCCTGCGTCTCTGCTGGTTCCATCACGGCCCTAGAAATAGCATCCGAACGCGCACCGCCCGACCAGATTTCCCCCAAGCTGCTAAGATTTCATTTCACCTCCGACAGGCTTCGTGGGGACTCGCTGTTAAAAGATCACTCTCCCGGGATGCAGGCAGTGGGAGGGGGCCCGGGACTGTATACAGCTGTCAAAACGTCTCCGACAGGAGGCTCGGGCACATCTGCACGAGCCTGTCTCAGGCTGCGGGGCACCCAGGGAGCGCCTCCAACCTATCAGGGTAATGCCGAGCGGTAATTGCATTAGGATTAGTTATCTCCTGTGCTCTGCTCATTAGCCCGGAGGATGGCTCGCGTCCAGCGAGAGGGTGGCACAGGGAGAGGGGTAGGATGTGCGCCGAACAGGTCGCGATAATGAAAGGCTCGCTCTCCTGTAGTTTGCCTCCCCCTCCCCCTCCCCCGTCCCCACCCGGCCCCCTACTCTCCGCCTCCCTCTTCCTCTAAACCTCATTTCCTGACTTTTTCCTGAAGGTCTTATGAAATGTGCAATTTAGGAAGATTACAATGAAAAAAAAAAAAGGAGGGGCGGGGGGACTGGGCTTAGGGCCTGGTTGCCAGAGTGAAGGGAAGGGAAGGAAGCGGTTGGCATTCTCTGATGCCCAAGTCAGTGGCGCGAGAATGCTCAGGTTCCTTTTTCTTTTCTTTTCTTTCTTTCTTTTTTTGGCGGGGCTGGTTTTGACATGTTTTAACTACCTTCCCTGTGGAACGCCTAAAACCAAGCTGAAGCGAGAGGTGGCGATTTCCAGGAGATTTGGCTCCCCAGGAGAACCACTAGATTGTGTGAACTCCCAGGGCCACACCCAGCTCCGCTGAGCTAGTTGCTTACTGCCTGGAGAAGATGCTCCTGCACACACACACCCACACACACATACAAGCACCCCTCAGAGGAGCTGTCTCCTGGTTGCTTGGGGAACAGGCACCCAGTCATCTTACTCTTCACTGCACCTAGCACGAAGCCTGGCATACAGAAGGTGCTCGCAAAATGCATAATGTTTTCTACAAGTGTGAGGCGTGGTATCCGCAATTTTAAGATCTACCAAGAACAAAGCTCATTTTTTTTTAGGAGGCATGTGACCAACATCAGATAATCTGTCCTCTCTAAATTTATTTTTCCCATCTGCAAACCAGCATTCAAAATTTACCCATAGGCTTCTCTGCATATGTGTAAACCACCCCACACAGATGGGAACACATAGTAGGTGCTCAGTAGATGTTAGATCCTCTCTACATCTTGCCTTATTCATCCCTAAAATAGGGATTAAAAGGAAAAAAACTCTTTGATGTCTCAGGAGGAGGTAATTAACATTCTCTTAACCCATCTGAAAGGGCCAATAGAGTACAAAGTTGTTTTATAATTAAGAAATGTATCAAACTCTGGGCAGGACTAATTGCTGTGCAAATTTGATTGAGGCCTGTGAGGACAAGATTGCCTTTAATGGGTCGCAGCATAGGGGACTACTTAATATGCTTCAGGGAAGTTCCAATACCCAAGTCTCAGCATCGAGATTGCATCACCAACCATTAGGAACACTGCTCAATGGTTCACAGTGAATACACCAGGGCTTTGCTTAAATAATCATTTTGAAACTGGAAGTTTTATTGAGAGTTCAGGGTTCAGATTTAGAAATGTCAGAAATAGAGTTTTATTTGTTTCCATTGCACGTAATGAATTGCCCTTTAAATAATGAAGCAATGAAAATGCCAAGTACCACATACTCCAACGGATTGCCAAATGTTGAATTAGGCCCCCCTGGGACACGGGCTTCAAAGCCACACACATCAGAGAATTGGGGCATTTAAAATTTTCACAGAAATCATTGATCCAGGGGGAGCTCAGTGAGGGACACCCCCCCACCACCAGTCTATGATGCAAACTTTTCAACTTCTACTTGGCCATCCCTTATAATTGGGCAGCTGCAGCACTCTTTGGGGGAGGTGGCAACTGAGAGAATCTGCTTCAATAGCTCCATTGGATTCACTTAATAGAACAAAAATATTGTCCCTTTGTCATGAAGGCTACGTCTAGGTATTCAACTGGGAAGGAGGGATGATCTGCTCCCCTCCGGTGGCCTGAGACCCTGTTTCTGTTCTAACTCATGGCAACCTGAAGGATGGGAAGATTTTAGCCTCACAATCACATCTTTCTTCACCATCCACCAAAGCCATTGTTTCTTTTTACATCTTATCTTGGCTCTTCTCCATCCTCAGTCCAGAGAAGAAATTTACTTCTTTCCTTCTCAGGCTAACTCCTCCGTGTTCCAGTCTAAGACAGTGTCAAATTCTGGTCTGTTCTGACTCCAGAATTCAAGCACTTAATGAGTTGCTCTATTGTCCAAGGTTTAGCTTTCTGATCTCAAGCCCTGCTTTTCTATCATGGTCATGCAGATCTCACAATATCTGCATGTCACACCAGTCTCCAAACCTCAAATGTGTTGAACTGATTAGTTGACCATCCTCCTCTTCTTCCTGACTTGTGTAACAGACCCGCCTTCCCTAGCTCCAAGGTCGTACCCCTAGTTCTTCTTGCTCAATTGTTCATTTTAAGTCTTGAAAGTATTTCTTTTAAAATGAATATTTAAAAAAAATTCTTCAACTATCCCTTTAATTTAGTCACACAAATAGACCCTACTGGAACTAATGCAGTATCCCAGTGTTCTCTTATTCCTTATTTCTGTGGTTGGTTCCTGCCTAGTTTATCCTATCCATTATGTCTAGAAAACTCTTGAAATATTTCTTTCACAGTCATATAATTTTCCTTTAAGAATTCTAATGACTTCTCTTTATCTGTAATAAAATTGGTGCTTCCTGGCAAATATAGGAGTTGTGCAGCTGGAGGCAAAGTTCAACTCTGCCTTTGTTGGCTTGGAGACCTTGAGCAATTTCTCCAGTTATCTTCTGTCTTCATTTCTTTACTTGTAAAGAGAAGAAATGTCCTGAAGTTTAATGAGGAAGTAGATGTAAAGTGGGTGGCAAAGAGAAGACACTCAACAAATGGTATCTATATTTAATACTTTTGATTTCCCCCAACATGTTTGGAGCTTTTCTGATTCTGTGCCTTTGGTTAGGATATGCCCTTACGAAATTGTCCTCTTTAAGTCTTTCTCCACTGATCAGAATTCTCCCAGTTCTTCAAAGTACAGTCATCTCATCGCTGCAGTGAAGTCCATGCCCTAATTCTCGTCAGAAGAGATTCCCTTAAACTAGTTTTGGCACTTTGAACAGGTACTTTGCAAATCAACCCTCCATTCTATTCGGTCTTATGTCACTTTCTGTTGCTTTGGGGGTTGTCAGCCAGTTCAGAGCTGCCCAGGAGAGCATCATGCATCCAGGATGGAAGAGGAAGGGAGTCCCTGTGTACACTCAGTGGGTGGAACAGTGAGTGTAGAGGAATGCAAATAGGTGGACTAACAGGCAAAGCCAGCATGGTGTCAGGCACCCTCTTTATTCCTGTTTTCAAAGACATTCTTGGACCAAATAAGTAGTGCATTTAACAGATGTCTTCAACAAGCACAGTTGGGGAGGTGATCAAAACAAAACTTTATTTTGTTTCCTATTGCCCATTAAAACTTTATTCAATGAGGTTAAATTTCCTTGCCCTTGGATAAGGATGGGTGCCACAACTTAAAAAAAAAAAAAACTCTTTATAAGGATACAATTTATGTACAATAGTATGCATGCCTTTCTGTGTTCTGTTTGATGAATTTGATAATTGCATATATCTGTGAAACCACCTCCCTAATAAGACAAAACTTTTTCATTATTCCAGAAAGTGTCCTTATTCCTTTCTCCAGTTAACAGTTCTTCCCTGCAGAGCTATGTCTCTGTCAATAATAGGGACCTGTATGAAGGGCCCATAAGATTATAATGGAGTTGAAAAATTCCTATCATCTAACCATCACAACACTGTAGTGCAATATGCTCCTCATGTGTTTATGATGATGCTACTAAACATTCTTTGTTTTTTAAAGGTGTTGAGGTGCTGCAGAGACATCTGTACACTCTTAATACCCCTAAGAACCAAAGTTATAAAAAAAAAGGTGCCCATTTTATAGTTGGAGAATTTGAGGTATAGATAGTGGCAGGGAAAGTTATCATTTCTTTATGGATCAGACCCATCTAAAATGTCTCAATATTAGTCTGCACCACCCAGACCGAGATGCTCACTACAGAACAAATGAACAATCAACCCACATGACAAGCCACCCTGTTCCATCAAATGTGAGCTCACCATAACTTCTGTTCTACCATATCACTGATCTGGGACACCACAGGACTAACCCATTCCCAAGGTCACCTTGGTGCTACCACTTGGTTATTGCCCTGTGGTATATTCCTGATGTAGGGTATTTGGATGAAATATACTATATACACAAGGTACACAGAATCACTGCCATGACATTGCTAGTTCTTATAAACAAAGTAGAAATGGGTCCTGTCTGGAGTTAGATGAGGAAACTCTTAGGAAGTTAGCCAAAGTATTGGGAGAGGAAGGTTGGAGATCCACTGAAGGGTCAGAGAATGCATCGAGTCATGTAGGAGAAGAGGCTTCTGAATTCAAAAAATTCTTATGCTGAGAGGTAGTTAATGGGACCATTTCCTTGAAATTACTCATGCTCAGAAAAATTTTAAAAACTGGTTATATATGCCTGAGTATTAAAAGTGGTTATCTATGGATGGTAGACATACAAATAATTTTTATTATTTTTCATGTTTCTGCATACATATTTTCCAGATTTTCTAAAATTACCCAATACTACTTTTTAAAATCAAACTTTTAGTTCAAATTGTGAGAGAATGATAAATTCACATGTAGTTTCAAGAAATGATATAAAATGATCTCATGTACCCTTAGTCAATTTTCCTCAAAGCTAATATCTTATGAAACTAGTACAATACCAGCACCAGGATACTGACATTGATACAGTCAAGATGCCTTCATCCCAAGAACCTCTCCTGTTGCCCTATCTATAACCACATCCACTATCTTTCCACTTCTACCTTCTCCTTAGTCCTGGCAACCACAAATCGGTTCTTCATTTCTGTTTTGTCATTTCATGACTGCATGGAATCATACAGTATGTAATTCTGGAGATGCACAAATGTTTATTGCTGGGTGATATTCCATAGTATGGATATACCACAGGCTTTTAGCCATTCAGCTATTGAAGTAATGTATGGGTTGCTTCCATTTTTTTTTGCTGTTATTAACATTTGTGTTTAG